AGGGCGATGGGGAGGGGAGGGGAAGGGCGAAGGGAGCAGGACGGGGCTAATTTAACTGAGCACTTACTGTGTTCCAAGTGCTGTTCTCAGCACTGCCTGTATCTTACCTCCTTTTTCCCTCATCAAAACCCTGTAGGACTCACTCCTGTCAGCCTCATTTTCATGGAAACTGAAATCCGGTGAGCACTGGAACCAAGATTCAAACTCAGAAAGCGTGATTCCAGAGCTTGGCTTTTAAGATCTCTGCATGGAGTGGCATTCTCATAACCACCCCATTAGGTGGGGGTCGTCACAACACCCGTTGATCAGATGACAAAACAGACAGCTGGAGGCACTTGCCCAAGGTGTCACTGCCTTTAATCCTGGGAAGTCTCTTACCAGAATTTGCCTGCATCAACCAGGGCAGCCAACCTTTAAACAAAGAAGAGAAGTCATCAGAGGCCTTTGGGACCCAGCCAGGAGCTGCCCTCTCACCCAGCCAGTCCCCGTCTTTGTCTAAGTGCCAGCGATGGCGGTGGCGAGTGATGAAAGCAGGAGCGTGTATGCGAAGAGGAAGACATAGTCTCTTCCCAGGGATCTACCTACAGCAGCTCATGAGTGCTTCACGCCTTGCCAGGACAGGAGTGGAGGGATGGTAGCCACTCTTGGTACCACTTCACCTGGTGGACACACCCACCCCCAAGCTGCTTTGCTGACCTAGAAGCGGTGACTGACAGGGGCAGCGGGATGACAGCCCAGCTTGTCCCCTTGCCTCTGAGCAGGTCAGCCTCTCTGGTGCCACTCACTCCAGAGCTCCCCGTGGGTCGGGCTGTATGGAGCTGTTACCAGCTCTCAGGTTCCTGTGTTATGTGAGTCTGGGCTCAGTCCTCGGAACCCCCACAAAGATTTGCGTGGAGGTCTGACACTTGGAGAAGACAGAGCAGGCAAAGGGTAGCAAGCAGAAGCGATTTTATTGAGTAAGCAAAGTACACTTGTGAGAAAGTCCAAGCAGGAATTTCGAGAGAATCAAGTGCACTGAGAAATTGAGGGTCAGGGCTTCTGTGGACAGTAGGATTCCTTTGTCTTCCTTCTGTCCCTCTAACTCGAATGAGGCAAAGCCCCTGTGCCTTCCCCTGAACCTTCCCGCTCTTGGCCCTAGAAAATGAGGTCGTCACCCAAAGCCGTCAGGTATGGTATCTTGTACATTTTAGCGCTAAACCGGTCTTGGGGCCTCGCCAACCCCTCACTGTCCTCCTTCCTCCAGCTCATATCTACCCATCTACCTAGCCTATCAGAGCGTCTCCTGATATCAGGGCCTTCTGAGTTCTTCAGAAACTAACCCAATGCAGATGGTTACCCTCATTTCTGTGCATTTTTGTTTCGTTTTTATCTTTGTTTAAGATGGTAATAATTGCTCGTTGTAAAAAAAAAAAATCTAGCGATGCAGTATATAAAATTAAGAGTGAAGATTTCCCCCTGCCCCAACCTTACACCCAGCAGTAACCACTATCCAAAGCTTAGAGTGAATCTTTCAAGGCTAGGTTCTGTTCATAAATTCAATCATGGAAAGATAGTATTAAACCGAAATAAACGTATGAATTCACATGATTGTCTTAACACACATATAATCGTGCAATACACAGTATACTGTGCTCTCCAACATAGTAGCTACTAAGTATGTAGGGCTATTTACACTTAAATCTATTAAAATTAAATAAAATGGAACATTCCTCTCCTCAGTCATAGTAGCCATATTTCATGGGACTAGAGGCCACTACAGGCCTAGGACATTTTCATCATCATGGAAAGTTCTATCACGACTTGTGTTTTCACCTAACAATGTGTCTTACTAATCTTTGTGTCTGCTTCCTCCTCCGTAAAACACGGGAAACAGGTCCACTGTCTGACAGCCGTGAAAACCCACCTTGTCACTTAGAAAAGGTCTCGCATTCTTAGATTGGAACCAATGACCAAAACTCACAAGGTATTTGAAGCACAGCATACAAGATAAACGAGGTCAAGACAAACTGACCCTAAAGAAAGAGAAATAAGAGAACAGACAGGAAGGCGCCCACGTCTCCTTGCTCAGGTCTCAGCACAAACATCACTGCCTCAGCACTGTCCTCCCTGGCCTTCCCCCTCAACCTAACCCCCGTCACACTCTATAACTTCTTCCATAGCACTTACACTACCCAAAACACTTTTGTCTGTGTGTTATTTGGGGCAACACAGAATAGTGATGAAGCGCATAGACTCTGGGGCAGACTGCCTGCTTTCAAATCCTAGCTCAACCCCTAACTAGCTAAGTGGTCTTGGGCACATGATTTTACCTTTTTGGCCTCAGTTTTCACCTTTGTAAAATGGGGCTATTAAAGACCCCACTATCAGAAGAATTTCTTGAAGATTGGATATGTTCTCTATTAGAGGAACTTAGATCAAGCCCAAGTGGGTGGTTGCTGTAACCATTAGTGGCTTTTTTCCTGCCTGCTCCCTCCAACGAGGAAGTCAGCCCTCTGACAGCGAGAATCTTGTCTGTTTGTTTGGTGCTGTCTTCAGTGCCTAGAACAGTACCTGGCACATTGAAGGTGCTTAGGAAATACATGTCGAATGAATGACTGTAAGAAAATTCTGCCCTGACAAGATGGAATTTCTGGAGATGAGTGATTTTTGTCAAAGGTCCCTCAGTGAAGGTGTCTACAGTGTCCAGCCTTGAATCATGATCTCTTAGCTGGACATGATCTCTTGGGGGCCCTCCCTTGCCCCTACAGCCTATTTCCAGGGCAGGCCTTCCCCAACTGTCCCCCATCCCGCCTCACACTCACCGCAGAAGAGGAGCAAGCTGAAACACCACATTGTGCTGTTCCTGTCAAAGAGAAGAACCTTCTTCGTTCACAGGGTTTTCAATAAAGAGGGTGTCTGGAACGAGGCGGGGAGGAGCCAGAGTTGCTCAATTGCTGCCAGAGCACCACGGACCTTTGTGCTGCCACTGAATGAGGACACTGTGACAAACTCCTAGTTTTCTCCTTTCTCCACAGTGCAGAGGAGTTCCTCTGGTTGCTGGGCCATTATGTCTCTCTCTGTCTCTCTCTGTCTCTCTCTGTCTCTCTCTGTCTCTCTCTCTCTCTCCTCTCTTCTGTTCTCTTTCTTCTCTCCCCACCAACATCTGTCTCCCATTTCTCATCACCTTCTTTCCTTGCACCCAGTAATAAATGAGCTTCCACCCTCTGTCCCCCATGAAGCAAGCCCCAAGCTCGAGGGCCTCTTCACAGCCTGCCCCACAAAAATAACCATCTCTGCCATCATATACCAGGCACCATGCTAGACACATTGCTAACAAAATTTAATTACATTATCATGTCAATATCATAAAGTAGAAATAAAATTAAAAAGGAAATTGAGGCTTGGAGAGGAGGTGTGATGTATCCAAGATTACTTAGAGGACCCAAGATTTGAATCCAGAATCCTCTGCCTAAGTCTAAAGATTTAACCATCTCATCTTCCTTCAGCTCTCCACTGTATCTAATCATATCGCCCTCATCACCACCATGCAAAGCAACACTCCTGCCCCGTTCACAGCTCCCCAACCCAACACACACACACACACACACACACACACACACACACACACACAAACATGCATGCACAATCGCATTCATGTGGAGGTCTAGGAATGCCTCCATCTGGGTCCCCCAGAAGCAGACGCTGAGACCAGGATTCTAGTGAAAGTAGCTTCTCAAGGAGGTGACCCTAGAAAACTTCAGCTGGAGCAGGGGGATGTGAGGCAGGACAGGGAACGAGCCCACAATGGGTGTGTTCTCAAGCAAGTAACACTGTGAGAATCTGAAGTGTAACCTCACTGGGTACCTATGGAGAGCAGCACAGAGCATGCTCTTTAGAGTTCTCTCAACTGAGGGGTGTGGGAGCTGAGGTATTTATCCACCAGCGACTGTCAGTCATGCACTGAGCCTTGCATCAACCCACAACATCTCAGCCCTGGTCTCCAAACACAGATGTCAGTCTAGTGTGCCCTGATTGGTTGAGGGTCCTGATTGGTTGAGGGTCATGAGTGGGAGAGGCACCAAGAGCATCAGCTACAAGCTAAAAATGAGTTGCAAAGACCAGCCCCAAGCTCTTGGAAAGAAAATTCCCAACTTTTTTATTTTGCCTTTTCCCTTTTGCTCTCCACAAGGCAAAATACCCACCTTGGAGTTATGATCACTGAAGATTTCATCAAGGACCCCTGTTTGTGCATCAAGGGACCGACCCTGCCTAGTGAAGATGCCATAAGAGCCAGTGTGAAAATATAGCAAACTGCACCAAGAAGGAGGATAAAGAGAGCTGTGCTGTGTTTAAGAGAAGCACTAAAGGGTAAATTCAGGCTCTGGAATAAGATCAGCTCCCACAGTGGTTCGAATCCTATCTCCACTGCTTGCTAGTCATGTGGGGTTCTGGGTAAGTTCTTAATCCCTCCCGGCCTCGACATTCTCATCTGTAGAGTGGGCTCAACTATAAGTAGGATCTGCTTCGTGGGACTGGCATGACATCTGAGGAGTGGGTGTGTGTGCGAGGCCTAAAGCAGAGCCCGGCACACAGGAAATCTCCACGTGTTGGCTATTATGGTGATAGGACCTGGGATCAGACAAACCTGGGAGCGAATCCTATTCTGCGAGGTATTACCAAAATGACCTTGGGAGGTGACTTGCCTCTCTGGGCCTCAGTTTCTTCATCTGTAGAATGGACATAACAATAAGTCGTGCCCTAAAGGATCATTGTAGAGGAGACGCAATGTGGGCTGATATTGCCAGCTGGGAGGGACTGTCAGGACTTGTACTTTCTTCTGGAATCCTTGCTCAATGCGTCCAAGGGTGTGGACCCTAAAGGTAGACAGACCAACTCAGTAATTTCAACATATGTCCACAGATTCTTTGACCCTCCTCCCTTCAAGAGGGGAAATCCAAATTCTCTCTCCTTGAGTGCATGCTGGACTTGTCACTTGCTTTTAATAAAGAGTAAAAGGCAAACATGACATCATGACACATCTGAGATTGTGACATCTGGGACATTTGAGGTCATAAGAGCCATTGTGGCTTCCTTCTTGCTCTTTCTTTCCAGGATCATTCGCAGGGCTGAAGGGAGCCAGTCACCATGTCGTAAGGATGCATGTGGGATGAGGTCTCTGGACAGCAGCTTCACTGCCACCTCATGAGAGACCTTGATACAGAACAATCCAGCTAGGCCACCTCCAGATTCCTGACCCTTAGACTCTATAGGAAATTTTTTATTGTTGTTTAAAGCCATTAAGTTTTTAGAGTAATTTGTTACATAGCAAGAGATAACTAACACACCAAAAGCAATTTTCCCCATCAGTAAAGTGAGAATAATAATTCATAGGGCTTGAGGTTTAACTGATAAAAGTCACAAAATTCTGCCTGGCATAAATTAAGTGTTCAATGGTTTTAGTTATTATTGTCATTATTATTATTATCCACTATGCTAAATAGTCATGGCTACTCACAGGAGAAGCCACAAACTTAGGGACTTAAAGCAACACAAATTTATTATATTACAGATCTGGAGATCAGAGTCCCAAATGAGTCTGATAGGGCTGAAATCAAGATAACAATGGGTCGTATTACTTCTGGAGGCTCTAGAGAAAAATCCATTGTCTTCTCCAGCTTATAGAGGCACCCACATTCCTTAGCTCAGGGCCCCATCCTTCATCTGCAAAGCCAGCAGTGCAGCATCTTTAAGTCTCTCTCTCTCTCTCTCTCTCTCTCTCTCTCTCTGTTTCTCATTCTCTTGATAGCTAGATAATGATATAGATAGATAGATGACAGATGATATAGATAGATGACAAATTATAGGTAGAGATAGATGATAGATAGCTAGATAATTGTAGATAGATGATAGATAATAGATAGTTGATAGATAATTGATAGATGATTGATAGAGATATTGATAGATGATTGATAGAGATATTGATAGATGATAGATAGATAGATAGATAGAGATAGATAGATAGATAGATAAACAGATATCTCTGTCAACCTTTCTTGTTCTCACCCTCTGTATTTCTCTCTCTCATTCTTTCTCTCTCTGATCCTTCTGTCTTCCTCTTAAAAGGACTCTTGTGATTGCTTTAGACCCGCTTAAATGACCCCGGATCATCTCCCCAGCTCCAGATCCTTAATCCTGTCTTCAAAGCCACTTTTACCATGTAGGGTCACATATTCATAAGTTCAAGGGATTAGGGTGTGGACAATGTGGGGTGGGTAGCCTCATTATTTTATCTACCACAGATGGGGGCTGGGGTCCTGATGAGTGAGGACACAGATGCCAATCAGCCTTCAAACCCAGAAGAGGTGACCAAGGCTATAAAATCTTTTCAGCAGAGATCTTGAAGGGACAAGGACAGGCATAAGGGGAGACGAAGGAGAAAAAATATGGTAGAAGAAACACACAATTGCTTGCAGAATCCTAACCACCTCATTTTGTTCCCAGCAAAGGGAAAATCTAGTGTGCTCCAGATTGAAAAAGTCAGGCCGAAGGAGCCCCACAGACATCGTTTATCATCTCACTGAATGTAGAATTCCAGGGCAGTCTTACCCAACTTGACCATGTCCCTCCATGCTCTAAATCCCCCATGGCTCCCCATTATCTTAGGGAGTTAATGAGTCCAGGCTCATTAACATCACTGAAGACCCTGCCTAATCTTACTCTGGTCTTACCCTCTGGCCACGTTGCTCCCCACCCCCAAAGCCCCAGTCATCCTAGACCACCTGAAGACCCTCTTGTGGGCCCTGTCCAGCCACCCATTAGGAGCTGGAGCACCCATCCCCCAGCAGCTAAGAGCATTGCCTGCTAACAGCTCACAGCTTTCCCTCTCCAGGGAACAGTCCAACAGCTGCACACTCCCTCAGACCCAGCCCACGGCCAATAACAGATGGTCACAGAGGGGCAAAAGGCCAGCCCTTGCTCCAAGAGGAGATCAATTCAGTGGTATCTTCAGGCTCCAGGGCTGGGAGCATGCTGAGCTCCTATCTCTGTCCTGCCCTGCTTCTCTCACTCTTTTCTGCTAAATACCCTCCTGCAATAAACTCTGTCCCCAACCATCCTCGTGACAGGGTCTGTTTCCAGAGTGGCCTAAGAACCCCTCCCAGCCATTAAGCACTTAGCCAGACCCCAAGTGTGCCATGGGCAATCACCTTAAATTTTATGCATCCTTCCAGGAAGCCTTCCTTGGCTCACATTCCAGGGTAATGGACCTCCTCTGTGCTCCCCCAACACTGACACTCAATATGATCTACGCTTGTTTGAATGTCCATTTCCTTCCGAGTGTCCTAGGGCAGGAAAGGAATTTTATTGGCTGTTGTATCCTAGAAAATAAAAAAACAAATGACAAAGAAAGAGAGACTGATGAATCTCCTGATCTCCTGACCCTCTTCTGCATCGAGAAAGAAGACCAGAGATTTGAGATGGTGGTGAAGGGCAGCAGCTGCCCTCCTGCTGAGGAGAAGGGACAGGGTGCTGGGAGGGAAGCAGTTAGTGAGGGGCAGAGCCACTTCTTCCTCAGAAGGATTCATAGTTATCTTGGGCTCCTGAGAGTCATGGCAAGCAGAGGTAGTTAGTCTACGGTCCCCTAGGACCGTCCCCAGTTACAGTCGTCCTCACAGCAGACTTATTACAATGAAAAGATACAAAGCAAATCGACAAAGGGGAGCAGCGCCTAGGTTGTGGTCCAGGGGAAACCAGACATGGGCTTTCCGTGGTTGCCCAGGGCCGGGGTAGAGGAGGGACAGATCACAGCAGGGCTAGAGGACATCAAGGGGGATGATGGAAATGCTCTGTATCCTGACTGTGACAGAGGTGGTCACAACC